GTGTCATCCTTGCGCAGGGGCCATGCTAATCTTCTCTGTATCGTTCCAATTTTAGTATATGTGCTGCCGAAGCGAGCACAAGAAAAGAACTCTTAACCTTCCTAGAGAAACAAATTTTTCCAAACTAGGGGAAACAAAACCCAATAGGTAGACTGTTATCACACCACTTGGCTCTGCCAGGTATTTTCTAAAAGCTACTAAACAAATAAAAAACTCTAGCCACTGGGAGTGAATGCCACGTTTTAAAGACATCTAAAAACCTTACACTGGATTTACAACTCCAATTCTTAGCCTAACTACACATCTATATGCAATACTTTTACTCTGAATTAGGATTAGGGTAAACTAAAATTCTTTTTGTGGGATTAAGTCACTGAATATATGCCTGGATCAGGTAACATCCCCATGCTAGGTGAAGCATTACTCTTTAAACACCCAGTTCACAAGTCCCTTCCCTCCCATCCCCTTGTACCCTCACAAGGGAGTTATGATCTGGCTTCTGCTTATATAGATCCTCACTTCCAAACTTTTGCTAAAGTCTACCTTTTTGACCCACTCTTGGGCAAAGATTTATTCTTTCTTCTAACTATTTCCTTACCTTTTACAGGCTCATTATTCTCATTATGCCTTATTATAATTTTGTCTATATGTTTGTTTCTGCTATCATACTGTGAATTCTCCAAAAGCGAGAACAATATTTTACCCACCTATTATAGTAATTGCTAATAGTAGATATTCTTAATAAATGTTTGTGAAATGAATGAACAGGTAATCGGACAATGTGTTCTACAGAAATCTACTTTACTTTCATTTTCTGCTTATTCTGTACTCTGTTTAATAGTGATTGTTAACCACTGGGATCATCTGTCTAATTGAAGAAAAAGTGGCAAATAAGTTTGGTATATAATTCTAGGGAATTAATGTAACCTTTGGAGCCAATATAGAAATTTGATTATAAAACCTTGATATAGAAACACGGTAACTCTTTTTTGTATTGCAAGTTTTGTAGAAACTATAATACCAAGCCAAATCTGTACCTGAATTTCATCACACTTGATTAGCTTTTCCACCTCTCCTTGACTTAGAAGAATGAACTCTTCATGCTGTACCACTTCAGGAAAATGCTTCTGGCTAAAAACCTCAGCTGCTTGCATCAGGTCAACACAATTGTGGGTTTCAGCAAAATCCCTGATACCCAGGCAATTAGAAGGGTCCAACTGACTTTCTAAGAACTCACAGCAGGCTTGCTTCACACCTAGGACAAACACAGGCAGTGAATACTTCAAGATACTTGACCAGATGTGAATCGGTCTATATTCTTGGATCTCAACATCTTCTCTACATGTTATCAGAGGAACCCTTGCTCAACACCTCAAAAACGTATTTGAAATTTTACGCATAAAGAGTTTAATTCCTACTTCTGCCTTAGTGTTATATGACTTTCAGCAGGATCTTTATACCTGTCTCTGCTTCATCTTTAAAGTGAATATAGCAAGATGAATTACTTCCAGAGACACTGGCACAATTAAATAAAATGTTTATAAAACTCTTGGGAACAGAGCAATAACACCAATTACAAATTTAGCATAAGGTACCTATTTTCTACTCTATACGAAAACCTACTAAAAGACTCCAGTGAAAAACAGAAAATACTAATAACAATATCACATTTCTCTAACTGAAAAGTTCAGAGTATATACTTAATGTTTATGATTGTGCGCTAATGCAAAAACTTCACACTGTTTATTCAAATTAAAAACTGAAAATATGTCAATCAGGTGTATATAAACTGATAATAATGAAAGCATAACTCAATACTGAAAAAGGCTGAAAATTAGAAGGGAGACCATCTCTAATCCTGTGAAAACTCTGTATTTCAGTTTTCGTGCATCAATTTAAATTTTATTTATTAATTTCAAATCACAAAAGGTTTTTGCCATGAAAATCTTCCCAGTTTCTTTATTAACATGGCATTTAATGGCCAGGTAAATTGACAGTCTCCATGTAGGCAATTAACAGTATCCGTCTCCTGCATTTTCTTACAGGGGAATTATATACATATATGATGCTTAATTTTCCCCTCCATGTTTTTTAAAGAGTCAGGGCCAGGTGTAGTGGCTCATCCATGTAATGCTATTGCTCAGAGTGAAACCCTGTCTCTTTAAAAAAAATAAATAAATAAAATAAAATCGTGCAGGCTGTCCCTGAGTTACAAACATCCGACTTACATAAAATTCACACTTACAGAGGCTATGAAAGGAAGTCTCCAAGTTACCAACATCTGACTTAGATATAACTCACACTTACAAACAGAGGCTATTATAGGTAATAGCTAAATGTACCTGTTTCAACTTACATAAAAATTCAACTTAAGAACAAACCTAGAGAACCTATCTTGTTCATAACCCAGGGACTGCCTATATTTGCAGAGGTTCCATTATATTGCCATTGATATCTAATCTTTCATTGCTCAAAGAGACAAAAGCCATGGGCAGTAAGGATAGCACCTATAGCCTGCCTCCACCATAATTTTCATGATTAAATTTGTTCAGTAATTTTAAACATTTATAGGGCAACTTTGGCATGGACAATAGCAACTTTTAAAGTCTGTACCTTTCAGCTGAAGCAGACAGGCTGCCGGGAGCAGTTCTTGCACATTTTCTACCGTCACATGTACTGTTTCTGTGTACACAAAGTCTAACAGAATTTCCATAGTAGAGGCAGTTAAACCTTGGATATCGACATAAGGTTTCCCCTTCTCTGAAAGCTGAAAATTCAAAAGGTGTGAAAGAATGGTGGTTATAATTGCAGAAGATAAAGGTAGAATCTCATATCTAAAAGCTTCATGTGGGCGGTGCCTATGCCTCAAAGGAGTAGGGGGTTGGCCCCATATGCCGGAGGTGGCGGGTTCAAACCCAGCCCTGGCCAAAAACTGAAATAAATACATAAATAAATAAATAAATAAATAAATAAAATTAAAAAAAAAATAAAAGCTTCATGTGATGTTAATAACACTAACTGAATATATAGTTTTCAAAAATTATGAACTATTTTGATTTGATAAAGCAAATATGGCATATATTTGTAGCTTTTCAAATGGAGCGAGTAGTTTTTTGTTCCCTACAAGTATATAGTAGGTGACATCTTCCTGGAATAGCAATATTACCAGTGAATAATTTTAGAAAGTGATTTCACTTTCTTTTTTTTGGCTGGGGCTGGGTTTGAATCCGCCACCTCCGGTATATGGGGCTGGCGTCCTACTCCTTGACCTACAAGCATCGCCTTTTTTTTTTTTTTTTTGAGGTAGTTTCAAGCTGTCACTCTGAGTAGAGTGCTGTGGTGCCACAGCTCACAGCAACCTCAAACTCCTGGGCTTAAGCTATTCTTTTGCCTCAGCCTTCCAAGTAGCTGGGACTACACGTGCCTGCCACGATGCCTGGCTATTTTTTTGTTGTTGCAATTGTCATCACTGTTGTTTCTAGCTGGCCTGGGTTGGGTTTGAACCTGCCAGCCTTAGCGTATGTGGCCAGTGCCCTACCCATTGAGCTACAGGCACCAACGTGATCTCACATTTAAACAAACATAGATATATTACAGAATAGAGTGAAAAAGTTCCATGAACATTATCACTGATGTCCATGGACAATTTTTTTTATTTTTTGAGACAGAGTCTCAAGCTGTGCCCCTGGTTAGAGTGCCATGGCCTCACAGGCTCACAGCAACCTCAAACTCTTGGACTTAAGCAATTCTCTTGCCTCAGCCTCCTAAGTAGCTGGGAGTACAAGCACCTGCCACAAGACCTGGCTAATTTTTTTTGTTGGTGGTGCAGTTGTCACTGTTGTTTTGGCTGGCCCAGGCTGGGTTCGAACCCCGACAGCACCGGTATACATGGCTGGCACCCTACCCACTGAGCCATGGGCATCACCCTGTCCATGGACTTTTTTTTTTTAAGAGACAGAGTCTCACTTTATCACCCTCGGTAGAGTGCGTGGCGTCACACAACTCACAGTAACCTCCAACTCCTGGGCTTAGGTGATTCTCTTGCCTCAGCCTCCCAAGTAGCTGGGACTATAGGTGCCTGCCACATGCCTGGTTGGTTTTTTTGTTGTTGTTGTTGCAGTTTGGCTGGGGGTGGGCAGTTCAAACCTGCCACTGAGCCACAGGCACCACCCTGTCCATAGACTTTTTTTTTTTTCCCCTTTGAGACAGAGTCTCAGTTTATTGCCCTCAGTAGAGTGCTGTGACATCATAGCTCACAGCAACCTCAAATTCCCAGGGTAAAGCAATCCTCCTGCCTCAGCCTCCCCAATAGCTGGGCTACAGATACCCGCCACAATGCCCCAGCTATTTTTAGAGACAGGGTCTTGTTCTTCCTCAGGCTGGTCTCCAACTTGTAAGCCCAAGCGATCCAACCACCTGGGATGCTAAGCATGAGGCACTGCACCCAGCCATCCATGGACTTTTAAGATAAAATACAAAATTTCCGTGAAATTTCACATTCATAGAGGATCCTGTGCCCTATAGCTCCAGACCCTCTAGGATTACCTAGTTCCTGTCATATGTCCTAGAATTATATTTGGTAATAATCAAAAGAAACATGCAGGTCACTCTAATGGGCTTTCTAATGTAATATCATCTGAAAACTGAACTGTCTAATAATTTTCCAAAGTACAGTAGAGCCTCTATAGTTGACCACCGCTCTACATTGATCAGCTCAAGCTGATCTAATTTTCATAGATCAGACATGTATCACATGTACATTATCTTACAGTAGGTCTGGTTCCTTAACATTGACCACCTCTCTGTGTTGATCAGTTTGTTACAGTCCCATCAGTGATCAACTTACAGATATTGTACTGTATTGGGCTGACTCTATTGTGGGACTACTCACTTCTTAGTGGTATATTTAGTCTAGAATATCTCCTTGAAGTTGTAAGTACTGATGAGGCCAGAGAATCACAGGAAAACTGTTTAACTAAGAATAGAAATTTTCGGGCGGTGCCTGTGGCTCAGTTGAGTAGGGCAGTGGCCCTATATACCGAGGGTGACGGGTTCGAACCCGGCACCGGCCAAACTGCAACAAAAAGCAGTCAGATGTTGTGGCAGGCACCTGTAGTCCCAGCTACTGGGGGTGGGGTGGGGGGGCTGAGGCAAGAGAATCACCTAAGCCCAAGAGTTGGAGGTTGCTGTGAGCTATGATGCCATAGCTACTGAAGGGGACAAAGTGAGACTCTGTCTCTTAAAAAAAAAAAAGAAATTTTCAACTTTACAGGTCAGTAAGTCATCTGAAACTGATTACCTTATGAAAATTTTCCCAGATGTTAACCTTGGTTTGGAAATTCATATTATTCATGAACTCCAGTGTACTTCTATTATGAACTAAATGACTTCATCTTTGACTTCTCCATCAGCCCAGAAAATAATCAAAAAGCATTCTCTACCATTCTCTACCAAAGCCAAGTCCAAAATCGATTAATCTCTAACAGTAAAAAAAGTCACTAGCATATTATTTTGAAAAAGCACATTAGACTTTAACATTTTTCATGGTACTACAATTTATAAACGATTACTATCCTAACACATTAAATACATTTAATACTAACAATACTGACATACAAATATTCTAAAGTTTCTCATTCAATAAATAAAACTATATTCCCACCAGTTGAATAGTTTAAATATGAAATGATTTTACTATGTAAGAAGTTAGAGCAAGTACACATTTCACATTTAAAATATTTTGCTTTAGAATTTTCAGCATGCTTCTTATTTCCTATTACCTGATTCTCACAGCAACCTGGTAAAGTTACTGCCATTTAAGAGATAAAGGATCTGGCTGGGCAAGATGGCTCATGCTTGTAATCTTAGCACCATAGGAGGTCAAGGCGAAAAGATCACTTACTTGAGATCAGGAGTTTGAGACCAGCCTGATCAAGAGTAAGATCCTGTCTCTACTAAAAAACTGGCCGTGGTGTTGGATGCCTGTAGTCCCAGCTACCTTGGAGGCTAAGGCATGAGGATTGCTTGGACCCAATCAATGACCCAAGGCTGAGAGCTGTGGCTCATGCCTGTAATCCTAGCACTTTGGGAAGCCAACGTGGGAGGATCACTTGAGCTCAGGAGTTTGAGATCAACCTAAGCAAGAGTGAGACCCCATCTCTACCAAAAAAGAAAACAAAACAAAGAAACCTCCCAAAACTGAGGCTACAGGATTGCTTCAGCCCAAGAATTTGAAATTATAGCTCTCAAATGAAGGATACAACTTAATTCTAGCCCAAGAATATGGGGAGGGGGTGGGGAAGGGGAGGCGAGAAGGGCGGCTGGGTGGTGGGAGGGTGACCGGAAAGATCACCTATATATCTGTCTAACAAGGGTACAAGTGAACTTTCCAAGAACTAGAATATAATTGTTTGACACAATGACTAAGCAAATGACATGAAATCTATGTGAACCAGCTTGATGAAAGTATTTCAAATTGTATATGAAAACACTACACTGTACCCCATGCTTGCATTAATGTATACAGCTATCATTTAATAAAAAAAAAAAAAAGAGAAAAAAAAAAGAATTTGAGGTTGCTGTGAGATAGGCTGAGGCCCTGGCACTCTAGCCTGGGCAACAGAGTGAGACTCCGTCTTTAAAAAAAAAAGAAAAAAAAGGATGGATCTAAGGATCAAAGAAGTTATATGACTCGACCAGGGTCACTTAACTAGTAAGAAACAGATTAAAACCCAGGTCCTCTTGCCTTAGTCCTGTGATCTTTCAACTGGACAACATTTGAGGAGCGTTTCAGGGCTAGAAGAGAACAAGGAAACCATCTTGTTTAACCATTTTATTTTACAGATTGACCCAGTTAAGTTAGATGGCTGCAGGGATTTTAGAGAGAATTGCTAAGAAAACTAAGCCTAGAATCCAGGTCTCTATACTCTCTACCTTAAATTATTCATATTAAAAAATAAAGACAAGGGCAGCGCCTGTGGCTCAGTGAGTAGGGTGCCGGTCCCATATGCCAAGGGTGGCGGGTTCAAACTTTGCCCTGGCCAAACTGCAACAACAAAAAAATAGCCAGGCACTGTAACAGGTGCCTGTAGTCCCAGCTACTTGGGAGGCTGAGGCAAGAGAATCACTTAAGCCCAGGAGTTGGAGGTTGCTGTGAACTGTGTGACACCAGGGCACTTTACCGAGGGCAATAAAGTGAGACTCTGTCTCTACAAAAAAAAAAAAAGACAAAACTGGGCTGTGCTTGTGGCTCAGTGGGTAGGGTGCAGGCCCCATATATTGAGGGTGGTGGGTTCAAACCCGACCCCGGCCAAATTGCAACAACAAAAATAGCCGGGTGTTGTAGCAGGTGCCTGTAGTCCCAGTTACTCAGGAGGCTGAGGCAAGAGAACTGCCTAAGCCCAGGAGCTGGAAGTTGCTGTGAGCTATGAAGCCATGGCACTCAACGAAGGTTGATAAAGTGAGACTGTCTCAATTAAAAAAAAAAAAAAAAAGACAAAACTATTTGGCATTTTCTTGTCTGATGTCAGTTTTTAAAGAAAGAAATAATTACTGATAAGAAAAAGGAATTCTGGCTCGGCACCTATAGCTCAACCTGCTAAGGAGCCAGCCACGTACACCTAAGGTGGCGGGTTCGAATCCCCAGCCCAGACCCACCAAACAACAATGATGGCTGCAACCAAAAAATAGCCGGGCGTTGTGGCGGGCGCCTGTGGTCCCAGCTACTTGGGAGGCGGAGGCAGGAGACTCGCTTGAGCCCAGGAGTTGGAGGTTGCTGTGAGCTGTAATGCCACGGCACTCTACCCAGGGGGACAGCTTGAGGCTCTGTCTCCAAAAAAAAAAAAAAAAGAAAAAGGAATTCTTTTTTGGCAAAAACCCATACTAACTTTTGAATGTATGAACAATGAAGACAACGCTTTTTCTTTCTATTTTTTTGTTTTTGTTTTTTTAAGACAAGGTCTCACTCTGTGTCACCCAGGCTAGAGTGCGGTGGCATCATTATAGCTCACTACAACCTCAAATCCTGGGCTCAGGAGATAAGCCTGCCTCAGCCTGCCAAGTAGCTGGGACTACAGGCATGTGCCACCACACCCAGCTAAGTTTTTGTTTTTTGTAGAGAAGTGTTCTTGCTATGTTGCTCAGGGTGATCCTGAATCCCTGGGCTCAAGCAATCTCCCTGCCTCAGCCTCCCAAAATGCAGGAGGTGTGAGCCACCATGACTGGCCCATATTTTTTCAAGTTGACAAAAAATAGGATGCACAATATATAATTAGCAGTCAGCAATCCTAGTCCATTTCAGGCTCAGCAGCTGCTGGGTAAACTCTTCTTACTCAGTTAAATGCCAACTGTTTCAGATGCTCTTGGGTAGTATACTGGAGAATAGTATGGGACAGGAATCTGCAATGTCATATTATACAAGATCATTTTAAAATTAACCTGGATTAGCTGGAATGACCTGTCAGGTTTTTGTTCTTCCTATTAGTCATGTTACTAAGCATTGGCTCAAAGCATTATAAACTATATTGGCTGTAAAATTAGATTGTAAGGCTGAGCGCTGTGACTCATGCTCGTAATCCTGGCACTCTGGAAGCCAACGTGGATGGATCACTTGAGCTCAGGAGTTTGAGACCAACCTGAGCAAGAGTGAGACCCCATCTCTACTAAAAATGAAAACAAAGCAAAGAAACCCCAAAAAACTGAGGCTACAGGATCGCTTCAGCCTAAGAGTTTGAGGTTGCTGTGAACTATGACACCATAGCACTCTACCAAGGGCAACAAAGTGAGACTCTGTCTCAAAAAAATAAAATAAAATAAAATTAGATTATAGAATATAAAATCCATATTTCAAAAGCTAAGGAGACATGATAGCTAAAAACTGTTCGGACTTTAGAGTCAGAAAATACAGGATTAAATCCTGCCTCAACCACTTATAAGCCATATGATTTGAGGCAAGTCATTTAATACTTAAAGCTTTATTCCTTCATTTGTAAAATGAGATGATAATACTCACCCCTCGTGTGAGTGAGGTATGTATAACAATCACACAGCACAGTACCTGGCCCATAAAGGTAGTTATCATTATTATGATACACCTTTCCTATTCTAACTCAGCAGCAACATCTTCATTAAGATGATAGAATTAGGGTGGCACCTGTGGCTCAAGGGAGTAGGGTGCTGGCCCCATATGCCAGAGGTGGTTTTTAACCCAGCCCTGGCCAAAAATGGCAAAAAAAAAAAAACAAAAAAAAAAAACGAAGATGATAGAATTAACTAAAGAAAATACTGGTAGTAAAAAAACTTCTGAAAAAGTATTATTGTAGTAAAATATTTCAGACAGATATATAAGTACAAATTATATAATAAACTGGTATATCCACTACTAAGCTTTAAAAAAAAAAATCAAGTTAATTTATTTAAATCTGTTTTTAAATTAGACTTGGGATCTTAAAAAGCAAAAACTTATGGTGCTTTCTTCTACTTAACTTTTTCTCTTTCTTATTTTCTTTCTTTCTTTTTTTTTTTTT